TGGTACGAAGTGCGCAGAACTCCCAGATGTTATTTTTGTTACGGCGAAAATAGAATCTAGGTGATGTAAGCGTTGCAAATATTAGAAAATGGTATTTCTTGAAAAAAAAAAATCGCATATTTAGCTCAGAAAACACCCGATTTATTGTTGCCACGTTTTCGATGATGACGTGTAACTAATTTGGCAAAAGCAAAATTGCGTCACCTTTTGCATTATTTAATAAAAAATGTCTATGGAATGACTATACATATTTTTTGTATATTAAAACCTATTTGTATAAAAAAAATGTAGGTAGGTGCGGCGTTGTAATTCAATGAACTACAGCCAACGCCCCGTTACGCAACTTTTTTTTCTTTTTATATTTACTTACTTTTGAGCCTTGATCTTAACTATGTACACCACTGCACTCACTATTTAGACTTTTTTCGATTTTATTATTCTATTTTATGATTGTGGAACAAGCAGGAGGGAATCGAACACGGCCGTTTCTCCTCCTTATCGCGAATAAAATGTCAGATTACGGATTGGCGAGTCACGTCTACTGGAGTCGCGAGTCGCGAATTAAAAACTGTTGCCAACATTGCAACCATTCATAACTCTTAAAATGAAAGAGTTGTTTTAAATTTCAGTTGATTCACAAACGTCATTAAAAAACGAATAGAAAATATCAAAAAATTAACAATCACTACAAAAAAGAAAGTTTATTGTTACGGTAACATTTTAAAACGTGATATTATGTCATGACAAGTTTGTCGAAAATAATTTTAGAGATTTTGGCTACGAATTTGTACATTTCCGGGTTTAAGTTAACAATGTTTGGACGAAGTGATTTGTTTTTAATAACTTCGTGTTTATAGTAAAACGCATTTCAGTGTAATTGTGATATTAATTATTAATTATTGTTTAAATATTATTATTTAACAGTGCCGTGATAATTTAAAAGGAGCGTTCGTAAGACTTGATTTCACCAATAATAAAAAATTGTTCTAAAAAGTTTAGACAGTACTTCCCTCGCTGTCGGAAACGTGACGACGGCATGTCTATTATGTTGTTTTCTCATTACATTTTTGTAGCGGAGCATTAAAAAAAATGTTACGATGACGTCATCAACATTTTTGCAAGGACACGTATATCAGTTTGGATAGATGTAGTTTAATACTAAAAAAAAATAGGGCTAGGCGGAACGTCAGTTGATGATTTTAAAATTCATGGGGAATACATGACATCGGAAGAATGTCACGTAGACATTTGTTTGATTTGAATGAGTTTATCGCCCCAAAACAGATGATTAAAATTATTCATAAGCCTCCATTGAACAAAATATTCTGAATGTTATTATAATTTTTACCTTATCATTATTTTATTGTTATAAAGACGAGCGTATTCTCACATTTTCCAGAAAATGTGGCTCGTTCTTAATTTGATCAATAATAAATTGAGTGATTCATTAGTTTTTTTGAGTTACCTGTTTAAGCAAAATCTAAAAAATTTGAATGCAATGATTAAAAGTCTATTCATATTTTCCACATTTGCGAAAGAATTTATTCGGAAAAATTTTGAGATACCGTAATCAATTTTTTGGGGTTGATAAACAGATACATTTTCATTTAAAAGTTACCATGCTTACAATAACTTCAAAAAGTTAAGATTTCAAAGTATTCAGTTTTGCAATTCTTGATTTAATCAATAAAATAAATTGACTCAGTCATTAATTTTTTCACAGACCCCGTGTAAGTAAATCTAAAAAATATTTATGCAATGATAAATCACAATTATAGACCCATCATACTTTGCACAATGCACATTTAAGATAGCATTTATTCAGCAAAATTTTGAGGTGACGTCATCAATTTTTTGGAGGGGACAAGTAAATATATTTTGAATAAAAACTTATCATGCTTATCATAACTGTAAACCATCTGCAAGATTTCAAAACATTCGGTTTTTAAGATTCCAAATGAAATGTCAAAATGTTGTTTCTTAATTTTGATTTTTTTTCCAAAACTGGACGTTTCGGGTAAAATCTCAATTCGGAGTCATAAACTACATGTTATTTGATACATTTTAAAACCCATTTACTATGTACAATTTTGAAGTGACGTCATTACATTAGTGGTGGGGATGATTAGACAAATTTTGGTTAGCGTTTTACCCTCTACATGATATACCTAATATAAACACAAAATTTGACAACAATCGGCCCAGTACTTTCGGAGATTTCGGAGACCTATTTCTTCGTCCTCTAGGGGTCATAATAGGTCGAAAAAATGCAAAAGTAGAGAGTCGGCCGACGGACTCGATTACAATATTTCCTTTGCTTACAACACTCGGGAAGTAAAACTAACAATAACATCTTGATTCGTACGAACCTGTTTATTTATTTAATGATAATTATTTATGCAATTTGTGGACTTTTGTAATTCGTGCACTACTTTTACACCAAAATGATATGGTGATCTTTATGAAAATAATCTTAATGGTCGGAAAATTGCACATTTTTAGGCTTAATTTAACAATTTTTGCACAAATTGGTTTGTTCTTAATAACTTTTCGGTTTAATTATAATATTAATTATTATTTATATGTTATTTAATGAATGAATCTATTTTGATTTTTTTGGAGGAATAGCTATTTTAGATATCGGACTTGACTTTAATTTTCACTGGAAAAATTTAGAATTCTGTATTTTTTTAATTAATAATTCGGTAGCTAAATATAAATTGGAAGTAATTACCTACGTGAGCTACCGAATAAATGAGACTTTAATAATAGAAACTTCACCAGCATTTTCAAACTAATAACAATAAAAATTGATATAAAAGTATTTATTTTCAAACGTCATATAACTGACACTTATATGACGTGCTTACCGGGGTTTAAGTGTCATTTCTGTGACAGCGTTTTTGAGCGGCGTATAAATAGAACTTATACTCCGCCGGCGTATAAATAAAACATTTATACTCCGCCGGAGTATAAATATGTGAAAATCATAGTGGTTGTCAACCATAGTAACCATGGTAAGTGAAATCAAGGCAATTCCGTAATGAAGCAAGAAGATAGGAAATAATCATTTCAAAAGAAGATTAATCGTTTGAAAATAAAATATTGTATTTCATTCGGAATTTAAGTGACTTCATGTGACTCGTATGGACTTAATTCGCCTCGCTATCGCTCGGCGTTTAATCGTCCATACTCGCCACAAAAAGTATCACTTAAACTCCTAATAAAATAAATATCTATTAGCGAAAACTACAATTTTTAAGACAAATTATAAAAAGACAGCGACGAGATTTAATTAAATGAAATTAATTAAAATTAAGAGGTTTTAACTTTGAATTAGTATTAGTGTGTTTTTTATTTACGTATCACTCTGTTCAAGTTCTTTGACGCTTAAAAGAATTTGACAACGTTTTAACTTCATTTAGCCCATTTTTTACCCTTAAAGCCAGAAAAAACACTTTACATCCAGGATTTTCCTAAATTTACATTGGAGAACGGACAATAGGTAATATGTACGGTTAGGGACACGGAATTTCAAAGGACAACCAACTTTCTGACATTTAAAAACATTGTAGTCTTATACCTTATTGTCATTATGATTGACAGGTCGTTTGAAATGGGTCGTAATTAAGTGTGCATTATTTTTAATACTTTGTGCATTAAATTTTATACTATGCGCAATAACATTTGTGCATTAAATTTACTATGTTGCGCCATAAGTTTTTGCATTTTGTGCATTATACTAAGTGCAAATTGGAATAATAAAATTATTGTTTTGGGCAATGATTTTCTGTACTGCGTGCATTATTGAAACTGTATAGAAAATAACTAACAAAAATAGACCTGCTGTATTAAAATGTATTTTATGAATGCATACAAAATTAACAAAAACATAAAATATTCATAGCAAAAAAGTAGCTAAACAAATTAAAAGTTTTGAAAAAATTAACAAAAAAGCTTAAAATAAACATTATTTCATTAAAAAACTTAATTAGTAAACATTATTAATTTAGTGAATAATAATTAATGCTTTTTTTGCTTTAGAAGGGCGGATTCCTTCCCCGCCAAACTGGCGCGAAATGAAGCACATGACACGTCTTTTAAAGAGTGAGAGTGTAATGCTCACTTTACTGTGAACTAATGCACATTTTAGTAATTTAGGGAACATTTGAAATGCTCGTTTATTTTTTCTCAAATACAATTGATTTATTAAAGAAACATTTATTTTAACGAATGAGCAAATTTAATTAAATAATTCTAAATTGCATTATTTATTGCGCAAATAGAAAAAATAATCTGCCATTATTTTATTTATTGCCCTTTCAGTTTTACAAATGCTGAAATAGTTTCTTCTGTGCTGAAATGTTTTTAATAATGCTGGGACATATTTCACATTTCATTAAAACTAGTGCGCTTTAAAATTGTTCTCGTTTGAAATTCCGTGTCCCAAACTGTATTTACAATGGACAAAAAATATTATAATTTTCTACGTATTGTTGGTTGCATATACAAAAATTTAATTTTCGATTACAGAAAAAGCAAGGTCTTAGAAATGTTATAAGATAAGATTATCAATGTCACATTACGGTATAAATTATCCTTGTCCTAGTAAATTTGATAACGTTGTACTTTGTATCATTCATAGAACATAAACCCAGAATTTATTACTCTTGATAAAACATTAGAAAATTATTTAATAAATAAAGTAGTTTATTCTGTACAGAAATTTCTTGAAAACAATTTTAATGATATATTGTTTACAAGAGTTAGTTAAGTAAAACAATAAATTTTGTTAACCTTACTTTATGTTTTGTTTTTTCAAATCTTTATTTAACTGACGTGCAATTATTGATAAACGCTGTTATTATCAAGATTACTTTATAGCGATGTAATAAGTAATAACTATAGAGTTCCATAAAATAACTTTGGTTTAAATGTACTTCTCTTCAATATCTTTGGTGGCAACATTGATTGTCAAAAACCAACTCGAAACAAACGACGCAAAAATCGAGCAGTAAGTGGCCATGTGGTGCTTATTTTTAATGAATAGTGATAATTTAACAGTGAATTTCGTAAACCAAGCTGCAAGATTACGGTTACGGTATAGTACACTTGTTTATTTTAATATCCATTTTGTATATTTTGTAAAATATTGTAGGTTATGTACGTTGAGTCGTAACGTATACCATTCGTAACGCTCCCAAAAATAATTTGCTGTGGGTGGACGGGCCATTGAAGCACGAACTTCATCCAGCTCATTTTTAACGGAACAATAAAACGTATTACGCGTCATTATTGCAGGTATTGTAATGAGTAGTGACCTCATATTACGTGATAACAGATTAATTCATTACAATTGAATACCTTTTTCACAGTTTAAGATATTCGTTTAACTCTAAGGCGCAATCTAATTTTTGACATAAGAAGTGTTTCCGATTAGATTTGTCACGCGTGCTCAGCTTCTGAATTGTCAGTGCATAAAATTTTTTGAATACGTTGTAACGTTTTAACGAGAAGTGTTTACTGATAATTATGTTTTGATTAAAGTCACTAAAAGTCAAAGGGTGCCTAGAGAGTGCCTATTCTGCTCATAAGACTTAAGTTGGCATGCTCCCAAAATTTATTGGGAGCAGCTAGAAGCCAATGTTTCAAATTGGTTTGTCAGTTTCTACTACTTTAATTAAGCATAAAATTTCGAAAAATGTGTGTTTTGGCATGAATTTATTTATGCTAGTGTCACATATTAAATTGAAATTGTATGATCTTACACAATTCTTGTAAAAGTGGAAATTCCATGAGAGAAACACATGAGTCATCACAATTTTTCACGTAGAATTTTATCAGAGGTTGAAATGGGATCATTCTAAAGAAAACATGAAGTTCATTTATGTACATTTTTTTGATTACATGTAGATATTATGCACGTTTAAACATACATTTTTATTGATTATTGAAATCCATTAACTGTAAAACACTGATAGGTTAACTACAAAGGAATTACGCCACTAACTACACAGTTTCCTCCCCTACAGGTGAACCCGTCCAGGCGCTAAGAAGCCAGTGGGCAACCTAAAAGATTATTCTTATTATTAGTGGCTTGTTCACAAGTTACTTGAGAACTGCTACTTTTTGATTAATTTCTTTGAAATGTGTTATCAGATTGTTTATGAAAAATAATTTTTCAGATAAGGAAATTATAAAAGTGAATGTGATACTTTAATAAGCGTTATAAGTGTATAACGTAATTTCAAAGTTTTCCACTAATTTTATTTTTTTTGTATTTCATGAATCGAATTAATCTCTTCTTGTTTTACTAAAGAAACTTCCGTAATTTTTCTCAAACTTTGTTAACCATTCAAAATTTTTGGAATACAGGAAAAGCGTAAGCCAAGGAGGTATTGAAACAGGGTTAATCCGAGGAATTGCTACTTTCATGTTTTCTCGACGTTTCATGAACTCTAGAGTATGAAAAAATAAGGCGTCCGTTTTCGTCAGTTTGTATTGTATGTCTGCCGAACCGATTGTCAAATTTTAGATATACGAGTATGTTAGGAATATCGAGTCAAAACGTTAACGTGAAACGCTAACCAAAATTCGTCTGGTCATCCTCCCCAACAATTCGATGACGTCCTCTGTATTATTATTTTTTAGTAAACGCCATTAAAATTTTATAAAATAACATACTCCTACACTGGTGGTTTATGAATCATAGATTTTATTGCATTAATATTTTTTAGATTTACTTATACAGGGTGACTCACAAAAATTAATAGATCAGTCAATTTATTTTACTGAATAAATCAAGAATTGCAAAACTGAATGCTTTGAAATCCTGCAGACATTTTAAAGTCATCTTGAAGTTTTATATGATTTATCACAAAATTGCATCATAGTAGGAGACTTTAATATTCCAGAATTGGAGAATTGCTTAAATGGAAATCATCGCCCAACTAAACTTTATAATATATTTTGTTCTTTTCTAGTCTTTTCTCAACCTAATCAGAATAATAGAATACTCAACAGCAAGTCTAGAATTCTTGATGTAATAATTTCCTCTGAAAATATTGTCAATACTATTTCACATAACATTCATCCTCTTGTGGTAGAGGATGGTTATCATCCATCTTTATTAATGACATTTCTTGTTAATATATCTTCTGTTGCCAAATTAGTACCAGACACTCAAAATTTTATGTATAATTTTCGAAAAGCCGATTTCGTAGGGCTATATCAAGCGATTAATTGTTGGAACTGGGATGATGTACTTTCTATCCAAGACATAAATGTTGCATGTATTTGTTTTAATAATGTCATCTTACAGCTTTTCGATACTTATGTTCCTAAATATAGGAAAACTAACAAGAAATATCCACCCTGGTTTACTCTTAACATCATTAAGTTATTAAAAGATAAAGAACGTCATTGGAGAAGGTTTAAAAAATCGGGCCTTTTGTCTCAGAAAGAAAAAACTAAAAAACTGGAGTATGAAATTAAAATTCTAATCAAGCAGGAGTTCGCAAAGTTCATTACTTCCTCGGAAATTGAAATCAGATCTGATTCTTGTAAATTTTGGTCGTATATCAATGCAAAAAAGAATACATCAAGGATTCCGGGTATAATGAAAGTGGAAGATTGTGTATTGTCCAATCCACAGTCTGTTGTTAATGGGTTTGCAAAACATTTTTCCAGTGTTTTCAAAAGTGAAGAAGTTTTTGTCTCATCGAGTTGTGATAATAACTGCTGTGATGAAAGTTCCTGTTCTTACGACTGTGATAGTTTTCTTGGCTGTGATTTTAATGCACCAGTTTTACATAATTTTAACATTAGTGAGCGTGATATTAGTAATGCTAGTCGTAAATTGAAATCTAATTTTACTATGGGTACTGATAATATACCAGCGTTTTTCGTCCGTGATTGTATTTCATGTATTTTAAGTCCCTTGTGTCATTTATTCAATTTAATAATTAAGTCATCGTAATTTCCTGATCTCTGGAAAATAGCAAAGGTTTGTCCAGTTTTCAAATCAGGATCTAAATCAGATATTAAGAACTATAGAGCGGTAGCTGTTATTCCAAATTTTACCAAATTATTTAAGACCATATTGTGTAATGTCGTGTATAATCATGTTGAGCATCAGATCTCCCATACTCAACATGGATTTGTAAAAGGTAGATCAACATGTACAAATCTCTGTGAATTCACGCAGTTTGTTTCGAGCTCGTTAGATATTAGACACCAAGTTGACGTTATTTACACAGATCTGTCAAAAGCTTTCGACAAAGTTAATCATAACATTATGTTGCGTAAATTAAGCTCGGTTGGTCTGTGTGATAATTTAGTTATGTTGTTCAAGTCTATACTTTTAGGTCAAAAACAATATGTTGAATACTGTGGACATAAATCTTTTGTTTATGAATGTAATTCTGGAGTAGTACAGGGTTCGAATTTAGGACCTCTATTATTTATTATATATATAAATGACATAGTTAATTTCATAAGTCCTGATTGTCGCGTTTTCTTGTATGCCGATGATGTTAAATTGGTTAAAGTAATAAGATGTGTAAACGACTGTATTATGTTACAGCAGAACCTCGATAACATGTTAAATTGGTGCTCTAGAAACTCGTTGTCTGTTAATAAGGATAAATGCCGTATTATGACTTTTAGTCGTAAATACTATAATATTACTTTTGATTATAAAATTAAGGAGTTGCCACTCAGTAGATGTTATGAATTTAAAGACTTAGGTATAATCGTAGATCCCAGATTATCATTTATACTGCATATTAATTATATTACTGTAAAGGCAACTAAGACATTGAGATTTATTGTTAGAAATACTAAGGAATTTCGTAATACGGAATGCATTATGTTATTGTATTATCCCTTTGTAAGATCTCTATTAGAGTACTGTTCGGTTATTTGGAATCCCTACTATAATATACATATAACGACTATAGAACGAGTACAACGTAAGCTTTGTAAATATGTCTATTTTAAAAAGCATGGATTTTATACAGTCCAAAATTATTCACAGGATGTATTACTTAGGGAATTGAATGTAGTCTCACTTTGTAGGCGTAGAGATTATTATTCTCTTATGTTCTTATATAAAATCTTACATAATGTTATACAAGATAGTGAGTTATTATCTCAAATTTGCATATTAGTTTCTGAAGCTAATGTTAGAAATCCGATGATATTTCACATTGATTTTGTTAATTCGAATCAGCATTTTCATTCACCTGTACCTTATATGCTTCGACTATATAATAAGTACAGACTGTATTTAGACATTTTCCGGATGAGTTCAAATGAATTCTGCATGCAGTGTAAAAAAATATGTTTTAGTTAAGGTCTATCAGGTTTATTTCTGCGTTTTTGAACGTCTACTCGCTATGGCTTTACTGTATTTGTGTTTATTTTAAGTAATCATGTTATATGTTTTTGTACTATTTTTTCCTTTTAGGGCTTCTGCCCGTTGGACATTAAATTCTTCTTCTTCTTCTTATTATTATTATTATTAAAGTCATTGTAAGTATGATAAATTGTTAATCAAAATAAATCTGTTTGTTCCACCCAAAAAATTGATGACGTTATCTCAAACTTTTGCCGAATAAATTCTACCCAAAATGTGCAAAATATGATGAGTTTTTACTTGTGATTCATGCGAAAATGTGAAAGTACAAACGTCTTTATTTAATAACAATTATAATAATGATATTCAGAATATTTTGTCGATAGTAGCTTACTACTTAACTTTGATCCTCTGTTTTGAAGGGACGAACTCATTCAAATCAAACTAATTTCTACGTGACATTCTTCCGATGTATAAACATAAACACTTTCAAGTTGTTTTACGTATCGTGAATAACCTAAGAACGTACTGTAATGGGGTCCATCGGGCAGTTTGGTACTTTCATATTCTCGATATTTCATAACCTCTAGACAACGCCGTAGCTAGGGGGAGGCTAGGGGATGCTGAGCTTCCCCTCGTTGTAGACAAGTTATAATTAACCAAATGTGAATTGCAACATTGAAAATCAAAATAAAATGTAGTGTTATTCAATAAGCGAAAGTCAGAGCAATAAAAAGTCTGGATCGTCAGCATTGTGATCCGGTTATTGCAATTCGTAGAAAAAATCTTTTAGTTTAGTTTCTGTTTTACTCTCTATATTTATTAATAATAGAAGAAGAATTCTCATAATAATAGGTACCTATCCAAAATAATATTCAGACCATTTTACTCCATGAACCACCTTAATTACTAATTTTAGTCGCCTCTTCTGTTTTGAGCAGTGAAAATTATTTAAATTTCATCAAATTCATACTTTTATTTATCTACCGCTGCTGATTCTGGACAATCAGCTGGAGACGTGCTTGATAGTCGCATTCTTTCATCTAACATCTTCAAAATGTCTTTAATACATAAATGTTGCTGAATTGAAAGTCATAGTTCTTCTACAATGTTCAGAGCTCAGCTACCATATACATTGACTAATTTTAAACAATAATCGTACCAGACTTACTTCTACCGATACAAGTTTTTAGTAAAAAATAATCGCGATTTCTAATTTACCCAAAAATTTTGTACTCAAAATATTGAATATTTTCGAAACAACAGATTTTAAACAATTGGTCTAAGGTTATGTAGAAAGAGCTTTCTGTGCCCCTGAAGTACAGTACAACACATCCAATGTGTTGAAAAATTATCACATCAGATGTGGATGTCTAGGGCAAAACATCAAGAGGGATTCATAAACTACACGCGTAGAAGTATGTTATTTTCTAAAGTTTAAATAACATTTACTGTGTAAAATTTGGAGGTGACGATTAGAAAAATTTTGGTTAACGCTTTACCTTCTACATTATATTCGCAATATAATTAAAATAAAAAATAATACTGTGTTCCCAGAATTAACATACGGTGGTAGCCTGAGTAAACTATTTTCAATTTGCATGTAGTTAGGAAAATAGGAAAACTCAAAACGAAACCTCAATTTATAGTTATCATGGTAACTAAAGGGAAAACGAAAAATTATACACGGTTTACACAACAGATGCAGGGATGTTAATTTGTTCGATATTTTCCGTAAATGAGTCTTTTATGGAAAACCAAATCGAGTCTTAGAATAATAACCTTGAAAAAAATATAATTTATTTTTTAAATTTTTGTTAAGTATTTTGGATCATTCTGTCATATAATGGGGAGTATTAAATGCATTTATAAATAGATGAAAATATTTTCACGCCGAAGTTTCTTTATACGTTCAATTTTGACGTCGACGTGTTAGTTTGGACGCTCATTTTTGAGTCACGTGATCACTCTATGTGTTGGGTAAACGGACTATAGCAGTGTATATAGATAGAGTGAGCACGTATATTTAGTACATTCTCTTTAATCTGTCCGAATATATAATAGTATAATTTTGTTGTGCAGGGATTCCTTGCTGTGACGAGAATTCGTGTAGAAAAATATGGCCCAAAAGGACCACCCTATCGAATTTAACCAAAATGAGGAAGACGCTTCAAACTTCAGGAAAAGAAAGTACCCTTTTAGTCACATGGATCCTTATTCCGAACAGGTACGAGTTAAGTTTAACACAAGGTATGATCACCTTTATAAACAGTTCACTGATTTAGGGAAATATTTTAACACCACTCCGTCAAATTTTTTTCAGTTCGTCAGTACGTCCGACCCAGAATCAACCACTAAGTTCACCACGTACGAAAAAAAACAAGGTATAGGCCAACACTTAGGCGGCGAATACCAGTACCTAATGTGCGCCTTATACGCCCTAAAATTCTGCGACGACGACCGTATCAGCGACTTCCAACTGACCACAAACAACAACAAATACAAAGTTTTCGACGACATCACGATCGAAATAACGTTGAAAGACAGCTCGGAGGTGGTTTTCACGTTCCAACTGAAACACGGCGAACCCCAGAGAAACCTAACGATTGGCGACTTCGTGCGCCAAAACCTGAAGAACAAGAGCTACCTGAAGAACCCCTACTGCTTGACGAAACACATCGAGTTCGTCAAGAGTATCGAGAAACAGAATATAGTTTGTGTTTTATTCACAAACAACACAGCGAGCTTGGTGGACGGCTTGGAGTTAGATTTCGAAACGGACAAGGTTTCAGTGAAGCTGTGCGACGATTTTGTTTACACGAATTTGCTAGTTAACACTCAGTCGGTGAACGGTGGCGATATTTTTCGCTTGACGACTAGTGGCAAAACCGACTACGACAACGCGTCGAGGCAGTTCTACATTTTCACCAATCAGAACAACGTTTATAGGACCAAACAAATCATTGAAGACGAACTAAGGAAGTTGCTTCGGTGCGACGTTTACGGGTTTTTCGATTTCATGAAGAACTGGTGGGCTGGCAACTTCGTACTTGGGAAAACTGACATGCTCACGAAATTGACTGAATTGTCGCTTGGGCCGTATTCGAGGACCTTGTCGGCCGACAAGTCTAACGACAAATCAAGGGAGTTGGCTAAGAGCATCATGAAGTTCGATACCACGATAGTGGAAGGTTTTGACCACAGCGTAATCAGCTCAATTTGGGACATCACAGAGATGTTGCGAAAAATACAGACGTTGGAGACCGACTTCGAAATGCTGGCGTTTTCCCTTGGTACCAGTCTCCAACTAGAAAGTTTCTGCTTAGCTGCACTCAAATACGGACTTAAAAGTATGCCTGCTTCTACGGGTACTAAAAAACTTTCATCTGACGAAATTAGAGACGTTGTGACGTCTTTGTCACTCTCGCAAATCACCAAAGTATTGTGGTACCTCGATGTGGTACCACTCGTGGTGAAAATCAGTCACGAAAATCGCGAGCAGGTAGAAGCGGTACTCAGTTTGTGGTGGACCCACTTCAAAAGAAAGAAAATCGTGTTGGTGGGTCCAGTGGACAAGGAGAAAATCCAAGAAAAGTGGAAACTTTTGTGTACCTTGTCGGATTTTGAAAAGTACGACAGGAACCGCGTTATGACCTCGTTTCAGGTTTCCTTGCAAGGGAAATCCGCTATTCCGTTGAAACAGTTGCTACATCTTGATAAACACGTTGCAGATATATTTGGAGTTCGAGAGTTGCTAGAAATGACACAAGATGTTTTAGTCGTTGGGAAAAAAGATGTCACTTGTCCTAGTCCCTACGTGGAAAGAACCCTTTCGGCTACATTGCTCGAAACTAACAAGGTCTTGAAAGCCTACGAAAACAACACCGACGCTTTAATCATCATCAACTGTGAAAAGACGCTACATTTTGCTGCAAACCCGTTCGTGATGGTAGAACTGACTGAGTTCTTGAAAAACCGGCACTATGATGACCGCCTCAATGTAATCATAGTGTCAACGAAGAGCAAATGCAACACCATCCAGTTTGAGAGTGTGCAGCGATTTACCCACAAATCGGTTTACTTGCTTCAAGTAGTAAACGACACGTCTTGCGTTTTACTATCGAAGACAGGTGACGCGCTACCACTGGACGAATTGAAGCAGGAATCGCAATCCGTGGAAGATAGAAAAGTCCTAACCTATTTCAAAAACCCACTGAACTGCTTAGTGGGTCCTGTGGCTTCCGGAAAATCGACTTTGTTGGCTCACCTAGTAAACCAGTGTCCGTCCCATTCGTGGACCGTTTACGTCAACCTTAAAACCGCCAATACGATTTTAGAAAGTAATCCCGACTATGAGGAGTTGTTGCGCCACTTTCTACAACTATCAGACGAAGACAGTTTTCTTAACAAGTTCAAACACTTTGTAGTGAAGACCAAGAAGTTATATTTGTTTCTGGATGAACTTGACCAGGTGACCCGCATCGATTTTGTTCTGGATTTTGTGAGGTGGATGGCTTGTGCGGGTGTGTTTGTTTGGGTGGCGGCACGTGACTACTTGGAAGAGAAGATCGTCACGTGTTTAAACATAGTACCTGTCAAACTTCAAGCCTTGACCCAAATCGAGCAAAATAGGGGACCGTTATTTGGCATCTTTAGTAGTCGTGGGGTTGCCAAAATGGTGTACAAAAGTTTGGAAATGGCGGACAGCGCACTCTCCCTTGCCACTCCTTTAAATATAAGAACTATAGCGGATTTTGTGAAGGACCAAACAGTACTGGAACGTTTGAAGTCGCAGAAGGTGCTACCATTACCAGTACTGGTCACTTGGTTGTTCGACGGCATTTTCAAACACTACCTCAGTAAAATGAGTCCCGAATCCTCTATGGTTTTAGTCACACTTAAAGACTACTACCTAGAGCAGTACCAACTACTCGCTTTAAAAAGTTGTCTAGAAGAAACGAGCTGCTACAAGTTGCTCCGGAACCCACGACGTGCTGACACGTTTCTTGGTCACTTACAACAACACGGAGACAACTTGGGTATCGTTACCTCAGTGGAAAATCAGCCGGTTTTCTTCCACCGAACCTTTGCTGAGAGTCTCGCAAGCTTATGGTTGAGCGAAAATCTACAATACCCGTGGAGTCCTGACAAAAACTACTTCTCGTCGGGCTTGCGGTTCACCCTCGATGTACTCCTTTCAGAGAATAATCCTCAACACTTATCCATCATCTATCGAGACTTTGACAACGTAGTACCCCCTTACGACGAGTCGAAAGATAAAGGTGGCCGCACACTCCTCCACTTGGTTTGTTCCTACGGAAACCACTACCCTCCGAAACCCAACTACCACGAGCGTCTAAATCGAGAATCGCCTTCGTACGTCGAACTCGTGGAGCAGTTGATGAAGGTCCAAGACCCTTCAAACCGCGATGATCTCTTTAGTTTCACGACTATTACGTACGCGGTTCGCTGTGGATGTTTGCTCCCGCTGGACAAAGTCGTCGATCTTTCGCCCTATCGTAACGAACTCCTCGAAGCCTACGATACCAAAACTCTAGCCTTTTATTGTTCCCAGTTAGGGTACCTTAAGTTGTTGGGTTTCGTGATTGAGAAGGACCCAAGTGTCCTGAACGACACCTTCGACGGGTTTTCGTTACCAGAACTGGCAGTTTTGGGTGCTAAAGACGACGATTATCAGTCGCCCCGACCCGGGAATGTCAAGGTCGCGGAAATGTTGATACAAAGGTGCGACAACGAAGACGTTCTCTCACGAATGTTGACTTTAGCGTCTACGAACCAGTGCTACGACATGGTGGAAGTTTTAAGTCGCCTTGATTCCAAAAAGACTAAAGGAAAGACCTTGTTACATGTAGCCGCAGAAATGGGTACTTTGAATGAAGAAATGTTGAAGTTGTCTGTGAAAAAAGATACTGATTTGAGTGTGCTAGATGAGGAGGGTCGGACTCCTCTTCATATTGCTTCTGAGAAGGGATACGTCAACATTGTCCAGTTGTTGCTGGACAAGGGGGTTTTGATCAATTCCCAGAGTGTGTCAAAATGGACTCCTTTACACTACGCTGTGAAGTCCTCAAATGTAGACGTGGTTAAATTTTTGGTCGAGAGAGGTGTGGATATCAACGTGCGTGATTTTGAAGGGCGTACTTCGCTTGACTTAGCACACAAGTGTGGGAATGAAAAGTACGTGAAGTTTCTTTTGAAGGGTGCTTTGGACTGGAAACAGGAAGAAAAACTTTCTAGCGATTTCCAAACGAACTTGGTAAGTGAGGGTTTTGTGCAAACCTCCTGACTTAAGTATATTCGTTTCGCAGACTATTCATAAGTCGGAAAAAATGGAGACCGCGACCTATTCCGAACCACGCAAGTCGACTGAATTCCCAGAACAGGTCAGTTAGTACCAACTTCACGCAATATACGCTAATTCATGTTTTTCAGACTTTCAAAAAACGAGCAGGTACTACGGACAAAGGAAGAGACTACGAGATTCTTATTCTAGCCAATTTGATATTCAAACTAGTCACTGACACCAACGTAACAAATTTTTCGGTTTCAGCTAATGACGAAAGTTTTGGTTACTTCGACGATATTGTTGTTAGTGTGGCAACACAAACAAACGTAACCACTTACGCGCTACAAGTGAAACATACAGTCCGAGGCAAACCCATTACTGAAAAACAATTAACCCAAAACAGAGGGATGTTCAGTTTAACAAAATCGTTTCAGTCTTTCAAAGAAATGTCCGAGGGTTCCTGCGACTTAATCTACTTCACAAACGCTAAATTATTTCTTCCTGAGAACAAGGAACTGAATTTCGACGATGAACATCTTAAAGTCCGAGTGGTCCAAACATCCCCAGACAGTTTTCTAAGTACAACGAATGAAGAAGATGCGTGCTATAAATTCAAACTAGGCGACCTCGAGGACACAAATTTGCAACTAAAAGATAAATACCAGCACTTTTTTGATCACTTTTACATGTACACGAGTCAAGAAAGCGTTGATCAGGTGGAGCAAAGACTGTGTACAGATTTTACCTCCACCTTTGGTTGTACTAGATCCGTTTTTGCCCAGTATTTGAACTTCATAACAACGTGGAGCATGCGCGATGGAACGAAAGAAAAGTTGGCGAAAACATGGGTTGAATCTGCTATTGCTTTGATTTTGCTGAGTTCTTGCGTTAAACCACTATCTTTTGGACCAGTCAACGACAAAATGAGACTATTGCGAGACGCAATAGCGAAATTTTGGGTGACAGTAGTTGAAGATAGGGCCTACGATGTTGTTAGAAAGTTGTGGGGTGATTTGAAAACAGAAAACGACGACTTGAAGTTACTTAACAAAGTCGCCTTAAAGTACCAGTTGTTGAGGTATTTCACCAATACTGACGAAATTGATGACAAATTAATGAACATGTTGTTGTGGATATTGGGGAAGTGCCCGCTGATCGTATCTCAAGATGACTGCCTGCCCAGCACGCTCGATTTATGTCAAAACAAAAATTTTGTAGTGGTCGGAAAGTACACGAACGTCCACGAAAATGTATTTCGCAAACTGTCCGATTTAAAATGGTCAAAAGAAGTTTATGACGAGATTCTAAAACGGTTTAGATTCCTGGTACAAGGTAACGAAGAAATTGATTTAGAATTTTTGACTACACTGGACTCGAAGTTCGTCGATTCAGTCACACCGACTGACCTTGTAGATATGGTAGAAACGACTTATCGCGTCGGGGGCGAAAAGAACCTTTCGAGCGTCTACTTGACCCGATTTTTGTCCCGAAATGTCATTTCTTCAAAATACTTGGAAAAAATAGACCCCACAAACACTCTAGTTTTGTTATGTGACGCGAAAGGTACCAACTTGCGTACTGTCCCTGATCGTAGCGACCTTTTTTCCAAGAACGAGCTCCCTTTGAAAAAATTCGACGATTGGTGTACTTCGGTGAGTGCGAAAGTGTTTCATTATTTTAAAATCATTGAAGATGGTAACCTTGAGTGGTTACAAAGTAAAGGAGGTGTGGAGGACCTCCACCAATACCAAATGTCGGGTTATTTTGTCGAAGAAGCAGAAGTTTACTCAGATTGTCAAAGTAAAGTCAATGTCATTTGCGCCGAGCCTGGCATGGGAAAAAGCGAGTTACTAAAGAGGTTGAAAAGTGAGATGAAACCGTTGACTGTACTTTTGACTATGAGTGAGATGTCGTCACTCGGTACCCACTTGAATGAAAAATCTTTAGACGAAATTCAAGAAACCATTTTTAAGTTAGTGTTTGCGGAGTGTGAGCCCCTAGAAGAGAAAATCGTGAAGGTACTAATCAAAAGCGGCCAGGTTTGCTACATGTGGGATGGTTTAGATGAGTTGACCAATGAAAACAGAGCTTTGATAATCGACCTGGTCAAGCAGCTGTCGTCAAGGAGCTTAACGCAATGGATCACCGCACGCAGTACCCTGAAAAAAGAACTCGAACACAAATTCGGTGTTCTAGCCAGAAGTCTACGCCCACTTACCAGCGAAGAACAAAATTGCTACATTAGGATGTATCTTGAAACCGAAAATGAAAGAAACGCCCTAGACAAAACACTCATTAAGATAAAATCTCTACCGGGTGTATCCATTAATGAAATTCTAGCTTACCCTTTACAACTCCACATATTGTTGAAATTACTCCAAACCGACATCTCGTTCCACAAACTTTCTCTAGGCGACTTGTACAGTCAGTTCATCGAACAGAAGTACAACACCTACATAGGACAAAAAACGAAAATAGACACGATTGACCCCATGATGAAAAAAATTTTCGAACGCCACAAGAAATCAGTCTTTGAAAACTACGAGAAAATCGCTGTGCGTACGCTATGTCCAGAACACGTACAAGAACAGAGTTTCGTGGACGACGAACTTGAAGACTACTTGGGCTTGTTAACAAACGGACACTTTATTAATTCGTCGTTTGCGGAGTACTTTGCTGCCTGTTATCTCCAAAGATCTAGGACGAACTTGATTTTTCTCTTTGACACGAAGTACTCAAACGTGAGGTTCTTCTTCGACCTTCTTTTGGCGAAAAACTCCGTTGCGCACACCGCTGTTGTACACAAAGATTTTGACTTGTTGAAAACGCAAGAAGGGTTTGAAAAAAGTAAAGATTTGGGGGGGAGGAGTGTGTTGCATTTGGCTTGTTCGTGGGGTACACGGTACCCCGTGTTGAATGTCCAGAAGAATCCAGACGGTTACGTTATAGACGACTGTACCTCTGAAATGGTTAAAGAAGACCCCGACTATTTGAAAATCGTGGATTTTTTGTTGGAGAGGTGTGACACTATGGACGTTGATGATTTGTTCAAGATGACACCCGGTGCCTACGCGGACGCTACTAATTCGGTTTTCGCTAAAATAAAAATTTTGCTGAAAGAACCCAAAGTGTGTCGTGTTGTAGATGAAGATTTAACTAAAATTTTGTATTACTCAGTCAAGTTTGGCGTGAGTGAGGTTATAGATTTGTTCAAGGACATTCCTTTAGTGTGTACTGCGACGGATCAGAACTCTTTGCTACACCTCGCAGTTCACGATGTGAAGATAGTGGAGAAATTGCTCCAGTTTGGGACCTACTTAAAGTGTGTTAATTTGAGAAACAAATATGGCGAGACACCTCTCCATTTAGCTAGTCGGTTAGGATATAGGGATAGTATGTTAGTTTTGATTCGATTTGGTTCAGATTTTAACAGTGTTAACACGAATGGCTTATCACCACTACATCTGGCGTGCCAGAATGGGCATACAGCATCCATCATGGTACTTATTGAGTCAGGAGCAAACCTTGATGGTTATGCAAATGATGGTACCACACCTCTACATTTAGCTTGTCAAAGTGGAAACGGTAAATGTGTAGAAATGTTGATTCGAAGTGGAGTAAAGATAAATGTTCGTAATAAAGACGGCATTACACCTTTACATATATCCTGCCAAACTGGAAATGTCGAAATTACCGAAATGTTGGTTCGAATAGGTGCAGAGATCGACGTCCTCACGAGTAATGGTCATACTCCGTTACATGTAGCTTGTCAAAATGGACACCTGGAGTGTGTAGACATCTTGATCAAATGTGGAGCGAACGTAGACAGATGTTCAGCAGATGGTACCACTGCACTACATTTAGCTTGTCAAAGTGGAAACGGTAAATGTGTAGAAATGTTGATTCGAAATGCAGTAAATATAAATGTTCGTAATAAGAACGGCATTACACCTTTACACGTATCCTGTCAAACAGGAAATGTCGAAATTACCGAAATCTTGGTTCGAATAGGTGCAGAGATCGACGTCCTTACGAATAATGGTCGTACTCCGTTACATTTAGCTTGTCAAAATGGACACCTGGAGTGCGCAGAGCTCTTGATCCAATGTGGAGCAGACATAAATAGATATTCAGAAGATGGTACCACTGCACTACATCTAGCTTGTCAAAGTGGAAGTGCTAGATGTGCAGAATTGTTGATTCACTGTGGAACAAATATAAATGTTCCTAATAAGGACGGTATAACGCCTTTACACGTATCCTGCCAAACCGGAAACCTCGAAATTACCGAAATGTTGGTTCATTCAGGTGCCAATGTCAGTGCCCTTGCGAATACTGGCCCTACTCCATTGCATTTAGCTTCTGAAAACGGACACTTGAAGTGTGTGGAGTTCTTGATTCAATGTGGAGCCGACATAAATAGATCTTCATCGGATGGTACCACTGCACTACATTCAGCTTGTCAGAGTGGATCAGTCGATGTTGTTAAGATGTTATTACAATTAGGAGCTGGAATCAATGTGGCGTCTAGTGATGGTACCACACCGTTACACTTGGCTTGTGAAAAAGGCAGGGATGCTGTTGTTCGTTTGCTTATTGAATGTGGTGCCGATGCCACTGCTACTAATTTTGATCACATGACGCCCTTGGGAATAGCGCTTCGGGAAAATCATAAGCAGATTGTAGAACTTTTAAAGAGGTTTCATAAGTGACAGACAAACGAAAAATGAGACGTTTACCTGTCAGCGAATGTTATAAGGAATACAATGACGAGGAGACGTTTCTTTGCTTCACAGTATGTGACTGTGAAGGAAAAAAACCTGATTAGTACAGTTATGTACAATACTAATCTTTATATAATAATGTATGTATCTGTAACGATTTAATTCGTATTAACAATATTTTTTTATTAATGAAGACTGACTTATTACACTAATTCGGTTCTTTCTAGAATTTCTCTCGATTCCCCCTTTCCAGTGTGCTTTGGCTGTACGGTATTTTTTTTTAGGATTCATGATACAAAAATCCTTACTGAAAAATGAAATTTATCAAATTAGGTTAAGTAGTTTAAGTTGTAAGGTTAGAAAATCTGACAAAAACATAGCACTGTTGCCAGCAATTTCACAGTTTCTATCTTCCACTCCGTTAAGTACGACTCAAAGCACTTATTATTTCTAGTACTTAGTAAGCATAGTTAATATAACCAAATTTAAAATTCACATTTGAATAAGATACCCTGGGGTGGGTGGGTGGAACTAGGTACTACCTGTTATGCTTGGAGTACATTTAGAGAGAGCTTCAAACCATAAATTCTTCACTTTATCCTTGGATGAATGTTGAGAATATATGTTTGTTGTAGTAGTAGTTCGGATTGAGGACATGTGGGTCCACGGGGAAATTTACAAAGTGGGGTCCTGTGGTATTAACATACCCACCACCCTTATGTTTTCAAATATGGAACATATTTAAAGCAGATAACTAACGGGACAAAATGTAGACAGTTTCAATTTCTCAGTATATCGAGTCCATCGGACGAATACCCACTTTTACGGTAACTGATATCAGTTAAAAATATTAGTGGTGGAAAATATAAATTTAACGAAGTTGAGGCAGTAGGATTCAAGTAGGGATACCTCAGTTACAAAAGTCCCGCATTTGCTCCACGTTGGCCACCAACGAGCAAATTTCATAATTTTGTGCAAGTTCGTTGGCTCTAAATAATCGATCGTTGATGCTCGGCAAGAACCACGAGAAGGTCTGGAGCAGACTCGGAACCAAAGGATGCACTGTTGCAAAGTGCACCTTGAAAACCCACAAAGCATTTCCACCACTGGAGCTAAATTAGCAAGACCCACTGTTGCGAAGTTACGTTAGCAACAATATACATACAATACAATACACAATACAATACAATTCGATTGGAAACTGAGTGTATTCGATCTAGTTCAAGAAAGGTACATTACTATTGTGAGAAATGTGGAGACATTGTTTCCACTATGAATTCACTAAAATCGGAAATAGATGTTTTAAAATCCGAATTGTTGGAGATTAAAAAACGTCAAGACCAGGCGATCGACCATGATTCGGACAAGAGATTATCTGAAGATGAAGTTATCGCCGAGGTAGAGGACAGAAATCGAAGAGCTGCTAATTTAATATTATTTAACCTACCGGAATCTACTGAAACATTATCTGATCAGCGGAAAGAAGATGATACGTCCCGATGCCTTAGCATTGTTCTTCCTACCAATAAGGACAATGTATCAGTACTGGCATGTTTAAGGCTGGGTAAATATAACAGTGATAAATGGCGCCCATTAAAAATGAAATTTGTTATGTCCTGAAATCCTAATAAACGCAAAGATAATTTTTATTTAAATCGAGATCTAACTCCTCGACAACAAAATAGTTCTTATTTAATTCGTTCAGAGTTTAAACGTCGCAAACAACAGGGCGAACATGATATTCAACTAAGATATTATAATGGAATGCCAAAAATAGTAGTGCCAAAAAACATGTAATTATCCATCAGTCAATCTTCAATCTGCAGATATACTACCAAAATGTCAGAGGATTAAATACAAAAGCCGATAGTTTCTATCCAAAGGTTATCTATACTTATATAATAAAGCTGAAGCTGTTGTTTATTTGAACACGCTAATCTCAGAAACTACTGGTTCAAATTCAAAAAATCTTTTTGTGTTGGATAGTCCATGTATCATATCTACATATAGGCTATATAAAATCACGCTACGATCATTAGGAGCGAAGTAGCAATGAAAAATTCGGAAAAACGGGAAAATTATTCCTCCTTTGACAGCTTCCGTTGCTTACGCTGCTTAAACGGTTAAAGTTACGTAAAAATCCTGTATGACGAAATTGTTCCCCTCTAAAAGTTCTAAAGAAAAGTCCGCGACAGCATATGTCTATCTTTTAAGGTCGAGTCAGTATAACCTTTTTTATGGTAATGAAATTTGTTCTAAAATAATAATGCATTATGTATAAAATTCTCGCGTCACAATGTTTGTAACCGAACTTCTCCGAAATGGGTAAACCGATTTGTATGAAATTTTTTGTGTCTATTCGGTAGGTCTGACAATAGGTTGTAAACTATTTTTTAAACCCCTAAGTGATAAGGGTGGCCCACCCTAAAAAAATTTTGTCTATTTTTTTGACAATTTTTTTTATTTTTATTTTTTTAAGATTTGGCATCAAAAAATACACATAACCCTAAATTTTCACCTTTCTACCACCAACCCCCATTTATTAATCGTCTATAAAATAAAAATCAATTGCTGTTCCTATTAGTCTCGCTAAGACTCAAAAACGGCTTGACCGATTTGAAACATTTTTTATATTACGGGGATGCTTGATAAATAAAAAAAATAAGGATAACTTAAAAGAACAGTAAACAATTAAAAAATTCTAAAAATTTTGTATGGGAATCGCCACTTCGAATTACTTTCAATAGTTGGCGTCTCTGACGGACCTGTCGTCTAACTAACGTGTCATACAAAACTAATTCTTCCGTGCGATTGTGAAAAGTATATTGCATTTGAAATCGTTCTTTGTTTTTTCGTAAAAAAAAACGTCGTTTATTTTAAGACAAGTCTTGGTTAAAGTGAATTTAATTACACATTGCGAAAGTTTCTTATTCATTTTGATCTGCCATTCTATTTACCTATATTCACTTTGTTGGTTTTGACAAAACCTCAAACTTTACCGTTATTCGAGGATTTAATTTGAAGTTTAAATATTTTAAAATTCTCAATACAAAATTTACAGATTTGATTGACTGTGAAAATAATTCTGTGTCGTTTTATGAAGTTCATTAAAATGCCGAGAAGACGACAACCTCACATAGGTCCATGACGTCAATCAAATGTGCGACGAACTACCTCAGGTGCAAACCGCATTGATTTATTTCATGGGTAATTCGGATATGGAAGTTGATCAGCGTTGTGCTCATAATCAACATAATCAAACATTGAAGCGAGACATTGAGTGGTATGAATAAAACTGAGTAGATACACATATTCGAAGTACGAAGTATACTATCCTCAAACATATTTGGCGTTTATGACTTCACACCAATTTGACTCCCATTATAATTCAATAGGCCGTCACAACCGGATGTCTTAAACCCGCTCACCGATACCTACCTGAAAAGACCTTTTCGACGTGCCAGGGACGGTCGAGACGCGAAGGACCGGACTCAGAGTAATTTTGTTTGTTAAAATTTTCAAATTTCAAAATTTCCTTACAGAACATGATTTATACTTTGAAGAAAATTACACAAAGACACAATTATTAGAAGTGTTACACACTCGAAAATTTGAGAAACAATATAAAATAGATGCTATGGCGCGAGATCGTGGATTTAGGGTGATTAGACTTCCGCCGTACCATTGTATATTTAACCCCATCGAACTAATCTGGTCGCAAAAGAAAAATAATATAAGAAGGAATAATACGGCACCAAAATTTAGTAGTGCAACAATTGACATAATTAGGGAAGAAGCTTCCAAAATAACTGCCGAAATGTGGGCCAATTGTGTACGACATTCCACAAAAGAAGAAGACCAGTACAGGGCACGGTTGATAACACCGTTAATTATTAATTTAGAAGAGTCGAGTGATGATGACAGTGACTATTTCGATCAATAAATAAGCAGTAGTAGTTAATAAGTAAATAGTTGTGCTGTAATAAAAAATGATTGAGTACAAAGTTACTTTGTTTTTACTTAAAATAAAAAACTCGAAAGGCGCAGTTGTCGGTAAATGCAAAACTCAGTCCTGCCCTGTGCTTTTACCAGAAAAGGTCTTTTCAGGTAGGTATCGGTGAGCGGGTTTAAGACATCCGGTTGTGACGGCCTATTGAATTATAATGGGAGTCAAATTGGTGTGAAGTCATAAACGCCAAATATGTTTAAGGATAGTATACCTACTTCATTATTACTCTTATATACCTGAGCATCTACTCTATGTGCTGAGTACCTAATGGGAAACATTGTATCTCCCCGGACACAAACTGAACATCTACGCGTTTTGTGAGCATTTAATCTAGAAATGAGCATCGGCGTGGCAAATAACTGAGCTGTCTGTACAGTAGCTTAGAAAACCAGTAGGATCGTTGTAAGAGTGAATTTTAACTAAACATGGTGACTTTCATGAATGTGGAACGTCGTCAAAAGGTGCATTCAGTTTGAAAAACACATTAGGAGCAGGAATATCGAAAACTTTTCATGTAATTAACTTTTATTTATTCATAAATTGTGCAGTGCGTTTTTCCTAACACTGGCCATAGAGATTCCCATCTCAAGGTGTCTACCCCATACTAACTTATATTTTGGTGACTCGATTTTTGCCTTGATGGTTGAACACTGTCACTGTTGTCCTTTTTTGTTGTATCGAGATGCTACTTGAGCATCAACTGTTACTTACTGAAGTATTAGTATCATCTAGAAAAACTAGAAATATTTTGATTTGATATTCGAGTAGATACTTCGTATTTCGAGTATGAGCATCTACTGAGTTTTATTTATATCAACCATTGTCAAAAAATTGATCGAACGTTGTTTCGACAGAACTTCCTTCGCACCAAAAGTATAATGAAACATATTCAGCATTTTCGAGTTGAGTCTTTTCTTCACACAATTTTGTGATGACCTAATCAACATTTACTATCAACACGTAGATATACCACCTTGGATTGGTGCAGTGTAATACTAAAAATAACTGTATTGTATTCCCAAAATTATCTGCGAAAATCGAGTGAGCCATTCCATCAATTTTTTGGGGGGAATAAATAAATATTCTTAACAATTTACCATGCTTACAATAACTTTAAAACGTCTGCAAGATCTCAAAGTATTCATTTTTGCAACTCTTGAGTTATTCACTAAAATAAATTGACT